GTACCTCCGGCTTCTAGCTTTTCTCATCTCCAGTTTCCCTTCTACAGTGAATGTGAAAAATAGACAAAAACATCCAAAGACAGAAGTTTGTATAAGATCTTCATTTGGCTTTTTCAACATTGTCTTGCATGCATCATCACTTGGGAAAAATGATATTAGGTATAGGAGTCATTTCCTTAACAAAAAAGCCTATACGTCTGATGGGTCTGCCATTTTGTTCATTTGATAGCATCAGATAAAGGTGTGTCTAAATCTACCCAGGCCATGTACTAAGTCACTGCCTTTTCCATGGGGAAATGTGACAAATTAAATAATATAATTATATTGGTTGATGAGGTAGTGTTTTTAGAATTTGCAAAACATTTTACAAATTTGATATTATTGGACTATGTGAACAAGAAAGGAAGGTTTTCCTGCTGCTTGACTATGGAGTGAGAAGTTACCCCTCAATGAGTTCCAAATAGCTTGAATTCAAAAATGCTCAGTACTTCCCTGAGAATGGAAAGCTTCACTGAAGTCACCATTCTCAAAAATTAATGTTCTCTTTTGTTTTCTAAGCAACTTCCTTGGCTATACTTCCCTGTTCTCATCTTAGAGCTTTGGTTAGTCTAAATGAGTTCTTTCATGTCAAAAATGTTACCAGAGGAAGCTGAATGATCAAGGAAAAGAGAAGCAACCATTCTGTGAGGTAGCTACTATAGGAACGAAACTTCCCATTTTATTGAGGAGGCTTAGCAAGGTTAAGTGATTTTCCCAGTCACACAGCTGGCAAATATCAGGGGCAGGATTAAAATTTGGGATATTCCATCCACTTCACCATGCTATTGAATTCAATATTTGTATAGGGACATCTTCTTAAACCAGGGTCCCATTTCTTAAGGAGGTGCCTGGGTAAAAATATATACATACGTATCAAATACTTACATGTATGTATATATGTACATGTGCATGTATATATACATACACACATGTATATGTGTGTGTATACATAAAATCTTGTTTTTCCCAAGTGAATCTGATGATATGTCAACTTCATATGTTAGTTTAGAGGTATTGTTTTTGCATTATATTGCACTAGGTTTCATAGATCTAGAGGGAAGGGCCCTCAGAGGCCATGTAGTCCAACCTTCTCCTCTTACAGATAAGGAAACTGAGTCCCAAAGAAGTTAAGTGACTTGTCCAAGGTCATACAAGTAGTAAGCTTCCAAGACCAGATTTGAATTCAGGTCCTCTGACTCCAGAATCTGTGGTCTTTCCCTATATCTGATCTGCTTAACTGTGAAAATAAGATACACGGGGGATGGAGGGAGGACAGATGTGTGATTGTGGTCTAGTGCCCCAAACCTGTTATCTATTTCATTTAGAGAAACTTGAGTTAGTATCCCAGCATAAAGTTCTATGACAATTTGGGGAATGCCTGGAGAGGACAGAGACAGACATACTTTACCTGAATTGGGAAGAAAGCCTTTACTGTGAGATTAACATAATGAATATTTTATCAAGTGAACATTAAACTGTTTACTGGAGATGAAAGTGTTATGGATCCAAAAGGCACTTAAGGCAGCTAGTTGCACTATGAATAGAGCTTTGGGCCTGGAGTCAGAAAGACCTCAGTTAAAATCTAGCCTCAGGCACAGCTAATAAGCTGTGGGACTTTGGCCAAGTCATTTTACTTTTGTTTGCCTCAGTTTCCTCAACTGTAAAACAGGGACGATAACAGGACCTGACTCACCGGTTTGTTATAAGGATAGATGAGATATTTATAAAGCACAGTGCACATAGTAGGTGCTATATAAATGATTTTTCCATCCATTCATTTTCTAATACCTCTTAGTTCATACTGGACCATCACTATACCCCATATCTCAAGTGACAAAATTAGCTGAAAGAGCCCCTTCCTTAGACCCCAACACTGATGGGAGGCCCAGTGAGCTCAGAAGAGCCAGGACATCCAAAGAGAACTCTCATCCTCTGTGCAGAGCAGAGAAGTCAATGGCTGTCTTAATCATTGCAACAACAGAGAGCAACATCCAGGGCCTTGGGTATGAGATCGGCATTCTCAGGGTTCATGTTGGGCAAAACCCTGGCCTGCAGAGCTTTTGCAGTCATGCTCTGAGCATCAGGTGAGTTTTTCTAAGCCTGACACTTCCTGTTACCCAAACACATTACATATTTAGAAATCCCATGCATACTTTGAGAGGCTTTATGGGGGAGGTATATCACAGATTCATAGAGCTTGGGGTTTTAAGGAAACTGGAGAAATAATCCGTCCCAGAACCTTGCCTTTAGGAAAGTAAGAACTTCATTGCTCTCATTCTTTTTTTAATGAGGCAGCTGAAGCCAAGGAAAAGTGGTTACCTAAGCAATATCACACAGCTAGGAGGCATTAGGGGGAAGCAAATGGTAGGACTGGGGCCTCAAAATCCAGCTTTTTTCTACTACATCACTGCATTTTGTTTTAGTTTTGGCCTAAGTCTGTGGTTTCATTAAGTCTGACTAGGAGAGGAAACTCCTCTTCCCAATGTGCATGGAAGGGAGCAACTATACTGCAATGCAGAGCCGCAGACAGTAGATATAGGGAGGGAGGAAACAAGCATTTAAGTGCCTACTATGTGGCAGATGGGGCAGCCAGGTGGCGCAGTGGATAGAGTACCAGACCTGGAGTCAGGAAGACTTCGAGTGTAAATCTGGCCTCAGATGCTTACTAACTGCGAGACTCTGGGCAAGTCACTTAACTCAACTTGCCTCAGTTTCCCCATCTGTAAAATGAGCTGGAGAAGGAAATGTCAAACCACTCCAGGATCTTTGCCAAGAAAATCTCAAATGAGGTCACAAAGGGTTGGACACAACTGAAAAACGACTGAACAAAATGTGCCAGGTATAGTACTAAGCATTTCACAAATACTATTTTCTTTTATTTTCACAATCCTGAGAGGTAGGTGCTATTATTAATTCCATTTTAGAGTGGAGGAAATTGAAGTAAGCAGAGGTTAAAATGAATTGCCCAGGGTCATAAGACTAGTACCTTGACTCCAGGCCCAGACCTCTATCCATTGTGGCATCTATCAATGAGGCCATACCTTCTCTGTAAATTAGAGCCCTAGAGAGTTGCCTTGGGCACCGATATTAAATAACTCTCCCATGGACAGAGAGCCGGTTTGTCAGAGGCAGGACTCGAATCCAGGTCTTCCTGACTCAAAGGAGGCCAATTTACTATCCATCGTACTCATTGCCATTCTGAAATATTTTTTGTTTGTTTGTTTAATAGGGAATGGACCTGGGATTTCACTTGGTACATGAAATGCCTGAAGAAATTCCTTCTACAAATACAAGATGGCACCTCAAGCAACTCATAGTTTTAGAGGGTTGCCTAGAGAGCACAGAGAAGTTAAGCTACTTGACTGAGGTTTCACAGTATGAGGTGAGACTCAATCCCTGGTATTTCTAGTTCTACAGATGACTACCCCCCACTAGGTTAAGTTTGCTTTTTTGGTCAGTCAATAAACATTTATTGAGTACCTACTATGGGCCAGGCACTGTGCTAAGCACTTTTCCCCCCTGTGGTGCTTAGCACATAATAAGGGTTTAATGAATACTTGTTGACTGTTATTGGGATAGACATAAAGACTGGGCCTGTGATTTCACCAATAGAGGGATCTTCCTGGTGAGGAAGCCTTTGCTACCAATGCAACTTGGCACTTTCTCTGCAATTATTATCTTAGAGACTTGCCTAGAGCCTTGAAAAATGATGTCACTTGCCCGGAGTCACCCAGTCAGTGTGACTTTAACCTAATTCTTCCTGACTTTGAGGTTGGTTTGCTAAGCCGGTATGCTTCTTTGCCTCTTGGTGGTTTTTATTAACTTAAAATAACCTTAAACATCACACATACCCCTGGACCCCTCTTTGTGACACCTTTGCTAGGCTAATTCCAGTACTTTTCCCCACAGTGGTACATCAATTCTGCTGCTTTAAGTCACCTTGGTGTAATGGAGAGAACTCTGGATTTGGAGACAAGATATGAGTTCAAATCCCCCCTCTGCTACTTCCTAGCTGTACCACCCTGGGCAAGCCCCTGTTTCTCTCTGGACCTTGGATTCCTGGTTTGTCTAAAGGAGATGGTCAGACTAGATCACAGTTTCTTAACCTGAGGTCTGCAAACTTAATTTTTCAGTTTGATATATATTTCAATGTAACTGATTTTCTTTGTAACCCTAGGTATTTTTATTTTATGCATTGAAAAATATTGTTCTGAGAAGGCGAGACTGTGGTCTGTAAGCCACAAAAAAGGGTAAGGACCTTTGGATTCAATGATCTCTTAAAGTCCTTCCAGCTCTGGCCCAGGGTAGATCTGCTCATAAGCTAATGGTCCCCTGATGCCTAACAATGCAACGCCACAGTAAACACCTCACAATTGACTATGACCAGAGTGCTGGGCCTAGAGTCAGGAAGTTCAGTCTTCTTGAATTTAAATCTGGCCTTAGACACTTACTAGCTGTGAGACCCCTGGCAGGTCACTTAACCCTGTTTGTCTCACTTTCTTCATCTGTAAAATGAGCTGGAGAAGGAAATGGTAAACCACTGCAGTATCTCTGCCAAGAAAACTCCAAATGGGGTTATGGAGAGTAGGGCATGAGTGAACAACAACATGGATCCCTGGACTGTTTCCATAACACTCAGCAAGGTGAGAGGAGCTGATTCTAGCTATTTTCACATGACTTTGAGGTGGAATGAAAGTCATTAAAGGAGTTTCCTTTTTCATGGAAGGCTTTACACAGATTCTCCCAGGACTTATCCTTCAAGGGAACCATACATAGGCCCCCAGTGACAGGTGCATCAACCTCTGAACTGTAACCAAAGAGGAAGAACTAGGACAGGGGGAGGAGGGAAAGGGAATTCACCCCAGTGCAAGAGGTTACAAAGCAGAGCCATCCTTTACCTCCTCTTTCACCACTGGATGAATGTAAAATGTGAATGTGCAAGCTTGAGCTGCCAGGCATACCTGATATGCTGATGGTGGCTGCAGCCTTCACAGTGCTGAATTTCTCCCCATGCTTGTTAGTGGCTATGCAAGTGAACAGGCCTGGCTTGGTGATCACCAGCTGCAGCTGGGAATCAATCACTCGGTCTTTCACACTTTCTAGAATGGACCCAGCAGACACCTGGCAAGGAAAGCAGACAAGCAAAAAGAAGTAGGTCAATAAATTAAAAATATACTGCATCACTGAACTGAACTGGCCTTTGGAGCTAGAAGACCAGAGTCTAGCCTAGCTGGATGCCTCTGGGCAAATTATTTAGACTAACACATTTTCTTCATCAATAGAACAGGGAGAATGATGCTGATACTACTGATCAAACAGGATTCATGTATTTTTAAAATTTTAAACTTTTTTAAAAAGTTTGTATTTTTTGTTATTCTGAATTTGACCAACTCTAACAAATATGAGCCATTGCTAATAATACAAAGGACAGAAGCAGAAGATGGTATATAAAGCTGTGAATTTCTATTAGATGTAACTTGTTTTTAAGAACACAGAATACATTCAGCACTTTAGTTTCAAAGCTGTCTTGCCTGTCTGTGTCTCCTGAATTTCCTTCAGTTCTCTTCTGTGCGTTTAAACACATGCTCCAATGACCCTCACAGAGTCCTTGTAAAGAAAAAAGCTTAAACTCACCTGGTTTTACTCATTTATTTATTTTTAGAAGACTAGCAATTTCATGGATGGGAACTCCAGGTGTGGAAACTCCCTCATATAAACAGGTCCACAAAGCCTCTGGGACTTAAGAGTCTCAGTTGCCTGGGACACTGGGATGACTTGCCCAGGTGCCATTCAACCAGTATGTGTCAGAGGTAAGACTCAACATCAATACTTCTCAAGAACCATATAAATATATTTATTGTCTCAAACCCTTTCCACAAAGGCTGTTTAGGCTGGCTTGTAGCCCAGCCATGATTCCCAGCTGCAGCTACAGGTGTTTTGCATCATTTTATTCAGAGCACAGCTAATAGAGAAGTCTTTGTAAAGAGAAACAAAAACATAGATAACAGTCCTGCAGAAGGGCAAGCAGCACACATTTAAATATACAATTTGTAAAACCAAAAGTTCTAGACCAAAGCCCTAGTTTTTTCAGATGAGGAAACTGAGGCCCAGGGAAATTAAACTACTGCAAAAGTTAAGGTGACAATTCAGGTGTCCTGATTCCCAGGCACAGCACCCTTTTCTGAGACAGTGGGCTCCCTTCCCCTAACAGCAAGAAAGTCTGGGGGGCCGGGGTAGTCACTGAGCATTTTCATTGGATCAAAGATTTCAAGTTGGAATGGACCTTAGAGGTCATCTAAGTCTAGCACCCTCATTGTGGGAGGTGTGAAAAATGAGGTCCAGAAAAATAAAGTGACTTTTCCTGAGGTCACAGAGACCGTAAGAAAGGTAGGATTTGAACATAGGTCTTCTGACTCCAAATCCAGGGCTTTCCCACTATCCTGTGCTGCCTTGATGATAATAATTATCCCTCAACTTTCACCCCATGAAAAGAAAGCCCTCCAAAGTAAAGAATAGAAGAATATGAATGATATCTTTTCCTTTAAGTTACTAGGATGTTGCTTTGATCAAGTGCCTTTTACCTATGCATCACACATTTAGTTAACCTTTGAGGTAAATGCTTATTTGTCTAGAGATCTCAGGGGGCAAGCTCTGTCTGTGTAATTATGCAGTCTAGTTGCTCAGTTCGACCAGGTACATCAATTGACATAAACAATTTGCTTGGTCCTTTGTTCCTACGCCTTCTACTCATGAACTTTTTATAGATGTCTCTAGTTTTACCTTTTCTTCTTACCTTCATCTCTATCTCCCCATTTCTTTCCCCTACTCCTCTTCTCTCTTACTTGTGGTTTCTGCTCTATTCTTCCTCATTTCCCTCAAACCTTTAAAAAATTTTTTTCTTCTTTTTTATCCTGGTTACTGGGAAAGGTTTGGAAGATTGGCCTGAGGATAAGCAGACCACCAGCAATGCTGAAAATATTGGTCAAAGGAGAGGAATCAGAACAGTGGCTCTGAGACCCTAGACTAAATCTTGCTTCCTTTCCTCCCTCTCTGGAGGCTTTGGTCAAAGCCACCATGTGGGCCAGCAGCAAGTCCTGCCTGTAATAAGTAGGTAACAGGATTTCATCTGAATGGCTTTAATTATCTTTGGAATTTTTTTTTTTCAGTTTCCAATTCTTGATTTTACACTGCCCTTAATACTAATCACAAAATTCTGCTCTTGCTTTAAGGAGAGGTGTGAGTTTATTGTTATCTGGGAGAGATTTCTAATGCCAGGTTGAACATTTGCTCATTTTCCCCAGTCTCTGTGTGGGATTAGCAATGCTGAGAGAAAATCTTCTTTAACAGAGTCATAAAAGATAGAGGTTCTAGTTGAATTTAGGTTATTATATTTATCAGGACTCCAGTTTTTACCCATCCTCGCATCCATGGAATGAGCTATGAAAAGAATTATACCAACTCGTATCTAGAGCAACTATCTTCAATCAATCATTAAGGATTTTGCACTTTGCAAATTATACTTGATACTGACTACTAGGGCTGCTAGTGGTGCAGTGGATAGAGTACTAGACCTGGAATCAGGAAGACTCATCTTTATAAGTTCAAAATCAGCCCAAGACATTTCATAGCTGTGTGACCCAAGGCAAGTCACTTACCCTGATTACCTCAGGTTCCTCATCTGTAAAATGAACTGTAGAAAGAAATGGCAAACCACTCCAGTACCTTTGTCAAGAAAACCCTAAATGGGGTCATGGAGTTGTATACAACTGAAGAAAAACAACAAAAACCTGTGTGATATTGGGCATGTGTTGAAAAGAATCTGAGGCTATTTGGTTAAATGGGGTGGGGGATGCAAATTAGATGGTCCCTGAGATCCTTTTCAAAGCTCTAGGTTTATAATCTTAAGAAAATTCTTCACAACTCCCTAAGATAGGCTGCAGAACTAATATTATTTACATTTTTTAGTTGGGAAAACAGAGGCAGAGAGAGATTAAATGACTTGCTCAGAATCACATAGATAATAAACATTCAGGCCAAGACTCGAACCCAAGTCTCCTAGGCTCTAAATATAGTCTTTTCCCTCATTACACCAATACCATTTTTTTTTTTGAATGACAGGAGTTGATAGATTCTTTGGGGATGATATTACAGAAAAGAGAAAATCCCCACACTCAATCCAGCTCCAAATCTTTTATACTAGCCTTTAAATTGGAAGCAAATGCCTGATAATGTTATGTGAATAATGTATTCTTAGTCTTGCACTACTGGAATTCTTGAAATGGACATTTACCCTTTTGTAAAGTCCAGCCACCTTTTGTTAACAAATTGAGAGGAATCCCCCGATCTTTCCCTAAGCTCACTCACAGCTCACACTTAACTTAATCTTTCCCTGGTGTCTTCCCTAAGAGCCCTGAACCCTGCCTTATAGGAAGAAGCAGCAATTTCCTCCTTGCTCAGACCCATAATCTCCTGGACCCCATCCAGGTGCTGAAACAGTAAAGCCCCTAACCTAAGTGCAAGCACTGCAGAGGCCCACCGCCTGCTAAGAATTCTCCTAAATGCTTTTTCCTTATGTTTCAAATGGTTGGTCCTGGGTCTATTCTGTGAGTGACTCACGCACTGAAGACTGTTAGTTATGGTTAGAGTTTGTTTTTCTTTCTCCAATGTTCATCCTGACCAACTGCTTAACGTTTTAAATGACCTAAAAAAAAAAACCCTTTCCTCTCTCTTCCATATTGGTCTCCTGTCATATTAGAAGGGAACATCAAAGGGATGTGTGAAGGCTCCATCTCTCCAGGCAAAGTAAAGTAGTGAACTGAGGATATTATTATGTCTGGGTAGCACAGCAAAACCTCTGTTTTTTCTTAAAGCAACCAAGTCTACCCCACAGGCTGACCCAGGGAGGTTGGCCTGGAATAAGTGGAATAACCCGTCCCTGATTCACTCACAGGGGCCACACTTCATGATTGGTGAGGAGATGTCAGAATAGACAGGTCAATGTACAAAAAGTAATTTCCTTGCTTTAGCAGGGTGGGGGGCAGCTATTCAGTGGTTGATTGGCAGCTGCAGCAACGTCATCTGGTTAAGGTCCCTGGAATAAACTAAGATATGACAGAACTTTTCTTCCCTATCCCAACCCCCAAAGTCCATCAGGCCTGCTAAAGCTATGATAAGGAACATCTAAGGTATTTATGTGGGGGTACTCACACAACAGGAAAACACCAGAAAATTGCTCAAGAATCTTTTTGCATATTATTTTTCATTGCCTAAACTAGGTAGAGGTAGCTAGATGGCTCAGTGGATAGAGTACTGGGCCTAGAGTCAAGAAGATCTGAGTTCAAATCTGGCCTCAAACACTTATTAGCTTTGTGACCCTGGGCAAGTCACTTAACCTGTTTGCCTTAATTCACTGGAGAAGGAAATGACAAACCATTCCAGTATCTTTGCTAAGAAAACCTTATGGACAGGGTAGTCCATGGGGTCATATTGAGTCAGATATGACTGAACAACAAGAAGATACTTTTTTAGGGTAGATAGGTGGCGCAGTTGATAGAATGCCAGGTCTCGCATCAAGAAGACCTGAATTCAAATCTGGCCTCAGAAACTTACTAGCTTCGTGACCCTGGACGAGTCATATAACCTTGTCTGCCTCAGTTTCCTTATCTGTAAAATGAGCTAGAGAAAGAAATGGCAAACAACTTCAGCATCTTTGCCAAGAAAACTCCAAATGGGGTCATCATCACCCACACTAACAACAAAACCTAGCTGTAATTGTTAGCTTCCTCTAGTCTATTTGCTGAGTTTTACCTGGCTTTGATCTGTTTGTTGGCATAACTGTCCCTCCACCCCACACACATACACAAGATTTTCTTCTCACTTGAGTCTTGAGTAAATTTCAGAAAAAAAGTAAGCATTTTCTTTTGGAGGAGATACCCTTTCAAAGGAAATCCCGTTTCTTGTTTTAAATGCTGAGATCTCACTCTCTTTGTTCTTTTCAACTACAGTTTCCTCCCGGAGTGTCCAGTAATGACTGACTGAGGGAAAAGGGAGAAGAGATAGGGGTACTTTTTGTTCAATAAAGGGGACTTAGCTGACCTTTAGAGGAAGTTGAACTTTTGTTT